AGGTTAGTCCTGATGGCACAGTGGTTAAGTGTAGCACTGCAGGCAAATTCTGCCCACAGTGTGGAATTAGATCCTAATGGGATTCAGGGTTTTTCCAAGCCTTCCATCCTTCCAAGATTGATAAAACTAAGACCCAAATTGTTGGGGGTAATATGCAAATAATGTTAACACTGTAAACTACCCAGTGAATGCTGTAAAGCACTATGGGGAAGTGTATAAACTTAAATGCTATTGCTGTATTGCAGTAATTTTTGGTGTCTGTATCCCACATTCTGGGAACAAGCCCAATTCTACATTAGAAAAGGTAGATAACAAGTCACATTTATTTTGCCCAGGATAAATTGCAGCTTGTATGTGAGGAATTGTAAGCTGGATAAATTTTTCAAGGGGACCTTAAAAAGCACCTCCAATTATATTTGTTTCATTATAATTCTTCCCATTTCTTTGCATTAGCTAAGTTAAGATATAAGTTAATAGCAGTAACTCTTATATTACTAACTTGGTTAGCAAAAGTACTGGTGGGCTTTATAGATGAAAAGAATAACATAATTGTATTCAGGTTACCCTCTAATGAATATCTTTGCTTATATACTAAAAGGCACCTTCAAAGAATGCTTATTCCATTCTTTCTCCATTCCCCTCTCCCTTTTTCCTTAGAAAATTGTAATCTGTATAATTCTGGATTTTGAAAATGTTCCTCAAAATTAGGTTCCTAAAAGAAACCAAAGCAACTTTTTAACTTGTTGACTGCTTTCCTGTTATATATCTATTTGGTGATTAAAAATAATGAAAATTTCAGCTCAGGATTGCAATAAGACTTTGCCTTTAGGCATTTATTTACCAGATGATTTGCTAATCTTTGTTTCAAATTTTTTTTTTGAAATGTTTTGCATTTCAGGCACTGTCAAAAATGGGGCACCTGTGGCAAAAGTCTCACACAATCTGGGTGAATGTTGGAGGCCTCTGTGCTGCTGTATATCTCCTGAAACGCACCTCAGAAATAATTGAGCAGAGAAAATCATATTGGTAACATTTTAGGCAGGCCTAACACTCTTTCATAATCTAATAGCTTTACTTGAGATTCCAGATTGGCCAGTGTTTCAAAATTAAGCGAGTTCAGCAAAACGAACTACTGAGTAAACATACTGTGCCAAATCCAGCTTGAAGCTCTTGAAGGCACTTAAATAGGAAAATGTAGTAAGTTGATAAAGTTGCAGTTTCACTATCAGCCTGAAAATGACAGTTACTGTACAAAAGTGCAAATTCTTTAATATTCATAAAGCAAGCTACCCAGTTTGGTTGAAAGGGTTAATAATAGGAATTTTAGAAGAGATACTTCAAAATATAGTGTTAGTTGTTTTCTTTAATATTGTTCAGTTTAGAGTTTCTTTAGGTAAGGGAGTATATATTTTGCCACTGCAGAATTGCCTCCATTTTATTTGGCATCCAAAATAATGGTAACAAAGTTAGTACAGTTTTACAAACTTTATTGCCAAAGTAGGGACAATAATGTTAATACAGTTTTACTAAGTTTTATAAGTTCTGAATTACACTGTGATCTCACTAGTGTTGTTTCCTTGTCTTCTGTCTCAATGTAAAAGTTAAATCTTTTGTTTACTGTCATATGCTTGTTATAGCTCTAACTGAAAGGTGTTGTGTAAGTCTTTATATCTTTCCTTTGCCATTGTTTTAATTCAGTTTTCAAGCTTAAAAATACAGGAATAAACATATGTATTGTTGATTGGAACTTGCAGGATACATGAGAATATAAGTTAATTTTAACCTGAAAATAATAGCTAAAGAATGTGCTTAGTAGCTGAAGGATAGTAACTTGTAATGATTCTTAAACATGGTCCAAATTAACAAGATCTATTACAATAAATATACATCCACCATCAGCTTGTTACTCTATTCTCTGGCTTCTCAAATTAGTTGTTGATATTCACTGACTTCTAACATAATTTTTCCTGTATATAATAAAATTTTTACCAGGATTATCTGTCCTTTGTTTTCTTGGTGTTTATTTTCACACGTATTAAACAACCCAAGCAGTTTATTGTAAGGTAGGTTATTTAGGTATAATTGTTCATATTTAACACCATAATTCAGAGAAAATCAGAAACCATCATTCATATTTACAATTATATTTGTTCTGTTTAATTTATAACGAAGTTTAAAGCCTGTATATTCAGTCTCTTAAATATTAAATAAATCCTTGAATAATAAATATTATATTCTAATGAAGTATTTTTGAGAAAAGCAGACGTAGAATCAGTTTTGATTCTTGCTCTGGCCCGTTATAAATCAACCCTTCATAAATGAAGAACTTATCTAATTAAACATCTGTTTTGTAAGTAAAGAATTTTGAAACTAGATGCGATTGGGCTCTTTTTAATTAGTGATATCTCAATTGCTTGCTACTTATAACTTTAAACCTAATCCTTTGACCTGATTAAGGGATATTCTTAGTTTTGAATACTATAAAGACATCTGGCAATTCCTATAGAAAATACAGCTAGCATAAATTTTGAACCATCATTTCTTCCAGAGACATCATATCTTTCAAAGAATGCTGAGGCACCACTTTATTATAGACAGGTAGCAAGAAAATACTTTTAGGATCTAACTGCACCCATAAGAGCTAAGTCCCAGGAGCTAATATGTGTTTATATCTTGTTTTGCTGGATATTTAGATATTTATTAGATTTATATCCCTTTTCTTTTGCTCCTCAAGAACAACCTTAAGGTAGACTAGGCTTGCAGTCATTGGCACCTGAAGCCGTTCCATTGCACTCAGGGAGCTTCCATAGCTAAAAGTGAGTTGAATCTGGGAGTCCAATGTCACAGGCACATGCTAAAAAGTTGCCTTGAATGCATTTTCATCTAGTATTATGCTTCATACTCAACAAGGAAAGGTGGCTCTTAATATTATGCAGCCTTTGGTGTTGTAAAACAAGCTTCCATCTGCGTAAGTGAGGTGAAGAATTTCCTTGTAAAATGGTTATCTCAGAATTGCAAAAGGAATGAGATTTTTTTTTTTTTTTGATGTAGGCTTAAGTTAAACTTTTTTGAAAGTAAACTGACCCAACTCACTTCCTTGATGTTAAAATTTTCAGTTAAGAATTTTGTTGAATTATAAAAATGTTTCAAGAACTCACAGCTTGGGAGAAAAAGACCTTGAAAAGTTCCTTATTTTGCTCCACTTTCCACAGCCATTTCTTTCCTCAGAAATGGCTCTCCCTCCTCCATCATAATTTAATGCTGCATATTCCTGTTGCTATCAATATTAACCCATTATTAAAACACTGTATCATTGTTGGGCCAGTTCACACTGTCATAATGTTAATCACACAATCCATGCAGTATTAAGAGACATTTATTTTTAACCATTAGCAAGGACAATGACAGTGCACAGCATAAAAGGGGGAAGATAGCTGAAGAGAAAGAAGAGTGATTGAATTGACGTCTGGCCTGGAACCTCAACAGTTTTTTCATGTAGGAATAGGATTCTCAAAATAGCAACAGTGATAGCAAAGAAGCCCCTCTTCTGCAATTAGCTCTTTACATAAAAAAGCCCATTCTGTACTGAAAGCTACTTTTGAAGCCCTTTGTTTCAGTTACTTACATTATGGCTTTGGCTTTAGTTGAAAAGGGGGGGAAATAAGAGTACCATTTTTACTCTGCAGTACAACCTAGACAGTGGATACCATGTGATCATCGGAGGATATTTTGGTCCCAGAGTAGAGTGAGTTTTATTTTCAAAATATATGTCAATAACTAGACAAGTGTGATACAAGTAAATAGGTGCAAATAATTCTGGTGTTGGGATATATACTGATAGATGAAAATTCCATTGTCTTTCCTGACCTGTGCTCACATTCTCATTTTTGTGTATTGGGATTACAGGTCATTTGACATAATCAAATGTATCTCTATATCTGGCAGCAAGTTTAATTATTTTATTATCAGTTGTTACAAATGCTTTATGCACTTTTGTGTAACTCACCTGGAAAACACTACTTGTGAGGTGGATTTTAAAAATTATGAAGATACGAACAAGGCAATTGTTAGGGATACACCCTAGCAAGGATCTGCAGGGCAGGCAGGCAGGCAGGCAAAATATGTGAGATAAGTGTTGTGTAGCTTATACTCAGTAAAAGCAGATACAGTGCCAATTAAAGTAGTTTTATTCCAGCAAGAGTTAAAGCATAGTCAAAACAGTCCATATTTCATACACTTAGTTCAGTCCGTCCAGGGAGTATTCATTTGCAAATTCCAATGTCGAAAATGGTCAGTACACTTACAAAATAACAGTCCGGTGATTTATCTCTTCGCAGTAGAGAGAGATATGCAACAAACTCAGAAACTCCTCTCTTCCGTCTGCAACTCCAGTAATTGCCAGCAAAGCGTCAGAGAATCGTCAACGTCTCATCAGCATCTCTTGCTCCCTCTTATGGTGTTTTCACACCACACCCAAAATACATGCTTTGCAGTTAAAGTAACACACACTTTAAACTAAGAATCATAGCTTATATATATATTATCTTACCCAAACTAGTTAGGTGACCAATGTTATACCTAACAGCAATAATGAATTTATTTTCATCAAAGGAGAATAAAGTAATAGCCACCAGTAAATTTTCGAAGCACTTTAAAATATGTAAATTAAAATACCTTTTGGAACTAACCAGATGGTCTATAACAAGTGCTGGGATTTTTTTTAAACGTCTCTGATCATTGATTCCCACAGTTTATTAATTCAAATCTCAGCCAAATGATATTCTCTTAGTATTAACCATTTTACTAGAAGATTATAATGTATCTTTCAAGCAATTGTTGCAAAACAGCCATACAACTGGTCATACGATTTTTTCCCCTCTCAAAGCGAACATCAGCCTACCACACGTCCCTCCAAAACATCCGAACTGCGCAAGCGCTTACGCGTCCTTCACGTCTAAGGCACGCGATTTCCGCAAAACAATGGCTGCCGGGGATGCGCATGCGTGGAACGGCGGGGGTTTATTTCTCCGCAAAATAATGGCTGCTTGCGTGCGCGGCTGTCCGCGCGCGTAAAACTTCCCCGATTTGGGTCGCGGGAGGCACCGGGACCGGAGGCGCTTAGGATGCCGCAGAAACCTGGGGAGGAGGAGGAGGAGGAACGAGAACGGGAGGACGCTGCTCGGCGTCTGTGCTCGGTAAACACGCGGGAGCCTTGCCAAGTTATTTTCTGCAACCGCACCCCCCGCTTGGTGAGCCCAGTCTGGCTGGACTTCGACGGGAAGCCGCGCCCCTATCCCACCCTGAACCCGGGCACCGGCCGCCGGATGTACAGCTACCTGGGTGGGTAGTTTGCCGAGGGGGCGCTTCGGGCGTTTAACGCTTTGCGGTCGTTTTAATGGACGCGGTGCTACGTGCAGATCGCCGCCTTTCCGCTTTCGGGTTGTAATCCCTTTGCAAAAAGGGGCTAATGTTGCAAAATGTTCATCTGGGAAACCCTTCCATTTCCTGGAGCCCCGAGAGGCAGCTAAAAAGAAGGAGGCGACTGGTTCTGCAAGAAACCGTGGGGTGATGCTGAAGTCATGAGGTCTGCAGGCTTAGCCTTTGAACGGGAAGGTCTTGTTAAACAAGCTAGCCTTTGGGTGACTTCAGACTGCATATAAAAACGCGAGGGGAGAAAACAATGCGTTGTATCTGCTGAAAAGCTTAGAAAAAGTAGTCTTCGGCTTTTGCAATGATACTGAACGTGTCTTAATGGTTGCTAGAGCCCTGACTTGGTGGATTCCGCCCCCCCCCCTTTTTTTAAATCTTTCCCTCCTGCGTTGTGAAGAAAATACCGCTTTTTTCCTCCCTAGGTCTTTTTTTTTGAGTAGATGTTTCTCCTTTTAGGAGAGAAGTGGTAGAGCTCCCCTCAATTTCACCTTTTTTAAAAAAATGTCAGGAAAACTACAAATGCAGTTTCATTTGTAGTTGCCAGAACAAACTGAGAATGCCAAGGCGCATTTCTGAGCCCAAGGAATGGTGGCTGTTCCTGCACTGGGTAAGCAGGAAAGCCCTATGAATGCATATTCAAGGGACTGATTCTGTAAAATATCTTTATTATAAAGATATGTGCATGTGTGTGTGTTCTTATATTTCAATGTAAATAAAAACATTATCTGGACTGCTTGCAGCATCAAAACCAGTAAAACTAATAACTAAAACAGAATAAAAACACAAGTAGCATGCAGTATTTTATTAAAAATGGAAAGACCTGGGAAATTGAAGGAACAAACCCTGAGGTACTAATAGATAACGGTTAGATTAGCTGCCAAACAAATCACAGCCCTGTGAAGAAGGCAAGTACAAGCCACTTCTGAAAATGCTGGCAAGAAACTGCAGGGATTTGTCTAGTCAAGCATGATTTGAAAGAACACACTCACAAATATTAACTCTATCTGCACAGTTACTTGTGTATCACTCTAGTTCTGACAATCCTCTCATTATACTGGTAATTGTCTCACATTCCATAGAAGTCTTAATCATTGTGGATATTGCTAAACCTGATAAATTACATTTCCTTCCAGCAATCTTCATATCTATAAAAATATGTGGCTTTTCAATATATGTATATGACTTGCTAGCAGATACTTTATTTTTCCTTTTCTAGAACATCTTTGGTTATTCAGAGATGCCAAATCAGATGATAGTCTCCTTGTCAACCAGACAGAGCTGTTTGTAGCTACTCGCAATATAAATGGACAACCCATACTTGCAAATATTACATTGCCAGGTAAAGTTAGCAGTGAATATCTGAAATAAGATTGATTACAGTATAATTGTATTCTGTTGTATGATGAAAAACAATGCAATTACTAAATAGCAGTTTGGTTCTCTTCTTTTTGTCTGAAATAAACAACAACTGATGTGTCATTTTGAGGATCATATCAGCTGCACCATACCTTTTTAGTCTTCCTTTCCTTCTCATCTTTTTCCTTCTTCTTTCATGTATTTCTTGTTCAGTCCTTTTTTATTCTCTTTGTATGACGAAACCACCCCAGTGTGCTACTTTGGATTCAGTAAACACTCAGCATTTATTTACACTCCCATCTTTTCTTGTTTTACTAGATACAGTTCTTAAGCATCTCATTTCCACTTCATTCAATTTTTATGTTTTCTCCTGACATATTCAGCTTTCACTTCCAAATAACGAAGTGGGCAAAACAGCCCTTTTACACATACATAGCCTTTTCATTTCTTTCAACAAACATCACTGCAAATCTAGTAGATAAATATTGATTCTCAAGCAGTTTCTATAATTATTGCTGTTTCCCTTTTTTTAAGGCTAATTTATCATGGAGGGCCATGACTTTTGTTTTGATAGCTAATAAGAATATTTTATCTTTAAACTCGTTTCATATTAGTTTTGAGTATCTTCAGCCAAACATTAAAAGTCCATTCTTCTCTCAATAGTGTTCACTCTGAAAGAAAGATGTCTGCAAGTTATCCGCACATTAGTGAACCCAGGAAACTACAGGGAATTAGACATTGTTCGTTCATTATATGAAGATCTAGAAGATTATCCAGACATTAGGAAGGATCTTCAGCGGCTTTCTATGGAAAGGCATAACCGGCTGAGGAATGGAATCTCTGATCGACATGAGGAGTCTTAAATGAGAAAGCTACTTGGGCTAATAAACTGCTATGTACAAGAGGTATTAACTATATTTTATGAATGGAAAAGATGACATTGACTTTCCATTGTATGTTACTTAACTTGTTTGGTTTAGCCTGTGTAGGTTATATGTTGACAGCTATAGGCAAAGACAAGTAAAAATGCCACCAGGCCATTGCTAAAAACACTTCAGGAAAACACAAAACATTAGGGAAGATATGGAACTTTATTTAGATATCATACAGGAGAAGATGAAGTGTTTCCAAAGCTGTTTTCTGGTGGCTCTTCACATATTTCAACTACTGTTTTATTTTTATTTTATTGTAAAAACTGAACTGTGAACAAAATAATCCTCATATTTAAGAGTAAATTACTATTAAATGTTTCACCCCTCTATATCTTACAAATTGATTTTGAGGGACAAGAACATTAGGTTGTCTTTTATTATTCTTACGTTTCCTGTAGATTATTGTTATTGCTGCAGATACCTGACATAAGTAGAAAAAGATGGAAAATTCTGTGAATGAACGTAATGAAGTAATGAATGTTACTTCTGTTAAAGCAGGGAGTAAGCATTTTCTTAGCTAGTATTCTTCCCATTGCCACTAGCCCTAAAATCTGACAGCTATATGGCAGACATAGTTTTATGCTAAATCACAATTTAACCCTGGTTCAAGTGTCACTATAGTAGTAAAAAGTGAATGAAATAAATATGAAAATAATAACCTCTTTGGTGCTCCAGCCAGAAGATCATGACCAGGTATTTCCTAAACAATAGGAATAAAAGTTCTTGAATTTCCTATGCTTCCTCAGTTCATTGCACTACAGGTTGCCCTTGATTTATAACTTCATTTAATAATAGTCCAGAATTACGATGGCCTTGGAAAGGTTCTTTGCAGTCCTTAAAGCACTTCTGGCCTTTGCATAACACTGCATCACCACCCTGCAGTCATGTGATCGTGATCTGGATGCTTGGCAACCTGTTCACATTTATGACCAGGTTATTGTCAAATGCCTTGCGATCACATGATTGGCATTTGCAATCTTCTCTGCCGGCTTTTCTAGAAAATCAGTGGGAAAGCTAGGGGGAAGGTTTGCAAGCTGCTGCCATTCTTATCTCTGGGAGCTGGCTGAAAGAGCTGCCTCCCAAGGGAAGCTGAACCCTTTCGGAAAGATGCAGAAATGGAGCTAAAATCCTGAAGATTTCAGCTCAGTTCCTGCACCCTGTCAAAAGAGTTTCCTTTTGTGTACAGAGGGGAGCTGAACTCCTTTCAGCCAGCCTCCAGAGACAAGAGGGAGCCGAAATCCAAGAGAATAGAGAATCAAAGTAGTAAGGAAAGAAGTGAGGACATAATGGGGGAAACCCAGTGCAGGCTATGCATGAGTGTCTCTAACTCAGGCTGCAAATCTTGCTTGGATTTTGTCAAGGAGGATTTTCAGCTCCTGACTAGAGCCTCTTTGGATTTCTTCCTCCGTCCTGAGGCACCCTGCGCTCCTTACCTGGGACTCCACTTAACTCACACAATTATTTAATGACTACAGTCAGATGTGTCAGGATTATAATCATTGAGCAAAACATCTTGTTTAATAACCGCTGCTCAATTCTAATCCAAATTGTGGTCGTAAGTAAAGACTACTGTATACCATATATCATGCATCCCTAAAACTCTAAATTTAAATAACTCTACAACATGCTGAGGAAGTGTTCAGCTGCTTTATAAAATATTTTTGTTTTGAGGTTTAGCAGGTGATACATGGAATCATTGTTGTCCAATTTTCCAGTCTCTTTTCTATATAGCTACTGAAAACTAATTTTCACAATTATTTTTATGTTATTTGTGTCAGAAAAGAGTGCTTTCACTATTTAATCTTAAACTTTCAAGATGGAATAATTGAGGTGAGAGCCAATGTTTAGATACCATTTTTCAAGTAAGGAATGTTTGTTAAATAATTGCATTCCAAAGTAGTTTCTAGTGTACTTCATTTGTGTAAATGACATGAACGTTGGGATCTGGAATTTTGTGTAAATAAGATATTCCTGTTTTAAACCAGACAGCAAAAATCGCAACATAAAACAGGAAGGTCTTTATGAAAATGAAGTCTATAGCAGCTCAGTTTTAGCAACTTAAATATTTAGTTCTGTACTTGAGTTCTTAGAAGAAAACATGTTAATGTGAAATTGGTCACATCTTTACTTTTGTGTAATTCTATGTTTATTTGATATAGAGTGATAATAGTTGTCCAGGCTGGCCTATTTGACTTCTATTTCTGAATTGTTAAGAATTACTTTTAATGTATATTTGATTATTTCTCAGCATTCCATATAATGCAGTTTATCTTTTTTTAAAAAAAAAATCCTTGAAAATATTAAAGCAGCTTGTTAATTGGATCTGTTTTCTTTTCTCTTCTGCCCCTTCAGTTTGTATAAAATGTAAAATATAGACTATGTTAATGCACACTAAGCCATTGTTTATAAAATTCATTAGCTGGATATGTATCGATGGTAAGCCACAAACAGACATATCACATTTTGTCTTGCCACATTATATGAAGCCAAGCATAATGTTACTTTGGCTAGCTTCCTGCTGGATTCCTAAGTAATGCAGGAAAGCAATTGTAAGAAAAAATGCCCCCACACTAAGAAGCACAATGAGCTAATTGGCAGTCTTTTCCTTTTAATGCCTGCAGGTGTCTCAGGGCGATGCTTACTTTTTTGGACAAAGTACATTTCTTAGTAGTGTTTGGCTGGGGATCTGATACACATATGCATGTCTCCATTTGTAAAATGCGATTAGATCTCCTTTTTAAACTCCTTTTGAAGCAATGCAGCTGAATAGACCCAGATGTCACAATGGTTACTCTAAGTAGCACTGTGTACTTACATGAAATAAATAACTTTTTAGATATATATTTAATTGGTAATGCTTTACAATAAGGATGGGCAATATGTGATAAAGCTGAAGTGACCACATTTTGCTTTGATGCCTGGCTCCTCTCTTAGTTTGCAATAGTGGTTCCAAAAGGTCTCTCGGAATTCATGAGTGCCAGTGGATGTTATCATCTTAAAGATCTCTTAAATGTGGAGCTAGTTATCAAAAACACTTTGGAATGTCCAAGCGTGGCAACTTTAAGACTTGTGGACTTCAACTCTCAGAATTCCTCAGCCAGCCATGAAATCCTCAGGTCTTAAAGTTTCCCAAGGTTGGACACCCCTGTTTTTAGGCCCAGCATCTATCAGATACCAAAGTTATATCAGAGATATATAGGATTATACCTGTATTGGAGGTGGGGGGGGGCGGTGCACAACTTTGGAACTTTGAGAGCATGTTCTGGCCATGCTCCTAAAATGCTCATGACCAGCATGGCCACCAGTAAAAAAAACCACCCAATTATTAAAAGCCAAAGGAAAATCTATTCCCTCCCATGCTCCCTAGTCGCTTTCTCTCCACTTTCATTAAAGGAGTCCTAAAAAGTGAAAAGGGGAGCTGGGAGTCTTATGTATTGACAGGCATGGGGGTAGATCAGTACCCATCCTTTGTAATGACATTATATCCAGAGGCATGCATCTAAATCATGTTGGCTTCCATAGTGTCTTTTCACCTTGATTTTAAGTATGACAATGAAAGGCAGAAGCAATGTATAGAGTTTTAGCCATTGTTTTAAAGTTTTAAAATATTTAATGCTATTAATAATTTGTAATCTTATATGAGCTACACAAATGAGAACAAGATTATATTATTATTACAATGGCCTTTTTTTTTTTTGCTTTCTATGTACGTGCTTGTTTTACCATTGCTCCTACAAATTAGCTTTAGACACTGCACTTGAGAAATTGTTACAATAATAAACATTTTCCTAGAGTTTGTTATAGATTCTTGCTGGGTGGGTGAGGGAGGCTGGGGGGGGGGGGGCAGAATAGACATTCTGCTATATTGTGAATAATATCAAAAAAGGAACAACTCAGCTGGCATATAAATTTCCTAAGGCTGCGTTCTGACGCAATTCCCCCAAAACAACAAACCCTCTGTAGTTGAAGCAATGATTCCTTTATTAGGAGTGCCAGCAGCTCCGGCAAAAAGTTTCTCTTTCACCTTAGGCCAGTGGTGGCTAACCTTTTTGGGTTCCTGTGCCAAAAATTGCATGTGCGCTTGCATGCTCACATGCCAGCACCCAGAAGTCAATGCGCGTGCACCCCCCACACCTCCTGCACAGGTGCGCATGGACCCCCTGCACGTGGCATGTGTATGTGCATGCGCAAACACCCCCCCGCACCATGCATGCCTGTGCATCTCCCAAGCACACACACCTGTATTTGCACGCCAGATACCCCACAATCAGCTGTCAGGCGGATTGAATTCTTTAGAGCAGGGGTTCCCAACTTGGGGTGCGAGACAATATTCCAGGGGGTGCGAGAAAAGTCCGGGTAAATAATAGGATATTGGCTATATGTTGTCATTTTATTTATTATTTATTTCAGGGGGTGCGAGGTTCGAGTGAAATTTCTTTGGGGTGCAGGGCAAAAAAAAGGTTGGGAATGCCAACATTTCTGCATGCACCCTGGGACATAGAACAACAGGATCCTAGAAATCCCAGGATTTCCATCCAATCTTCTTGTTGGGTTTCAAAACATTTTGGATTACCAATTCAGACTCTCCTATCTCCTCGTGACTTGCTAATTGAGGACAACTGTGGGATGTCTAGTCTGATACTTCTTGCAAATGTTCAAGCACGAACACTTAACTGATTCCTGCTGGCCCTACCTCCTCTATTGCCAAACATTTAAAATAAAATGCATACAGTAGGAGTTCTAAGCCATAAAATGGTGGCCATCAGTCACCATTGGCTTTCCAAAAGAATTTGGTTTTCAAGAATTTCTGGAAAGCCGAAACATTTTTTGCAGTGCAGTATGGAATATGCAAGATGGCTGTGAAAACTCCTTGCAGGGACTGTCCAAAAGGAACTTTTTGAATTTCTTAACATACTATTGTTTGTGGTTTTTTGGGTGAAGTGGGAATGGATATGAGTTTTGTGTCCTTCTAAGAGGCAAAGATACCACCAGATGTCCTGATTGCAATGAAAGTCATGCTATTGGTTCCTGTAATACCAGCCCAAGGAGCGAAGACTGACAATTCCTAGAGCTGAAAAATATTTTTGAAAATGTACAGCTGGAAGAGTTTGCAATCTAGCAGATTGGCTGCTAATATCTACTGAATTCTTATCTTTAAGAATGCTGGTACTTCACCTGTCATTATGAACCATCCATAGCTTTTAGGGTAAACAACTGGTGGCTTCTCATTGTGCTCCTCTGACAGCTTGCAGAACACAATCTTCAGCTCCCTGAACTTGTCCTGGTTACCCATCCCAAGAAAGTTCTGCTCTGCAACTTCCATGCTATCTTCTGTTACAGGCAGCTGAGCTGCTGCCTTTGATCAACATCTCTACCATTTTAAATGCTAAGACCAGGCTTAGTATTTAAGATGGTAACATTTAAGACTTCCACCTTATCTTGATGCACCCCAGCAAGGGCAGCCATACTTGCTTGGATTTGAGCATAATAAGAGGCTATGGGCATAAAGTCATTCCATGTCAGAAATCAAGGCTCATTGATAACTCATTTAGCAGAGAACAGGACCATCACTGCAACCAGAGGCACAGGAACACCCCCGGCAGCAAGGAAATATATTTAGACTATCCAGGAATAATTTCTCCTCTGCCCTCCCCCCCAAAAAACCCACTGTCCCCACTTCTGCACACTACAATTTCACCTGACTGCTCCATTTTGTAGCTGGGTTTCTTACTGCTGTCACAGTGAAGATCATTGTCAGTAATCCTGCCATTAAAAAAAAAATGGGAAGAATACCAATACTCACCAAGCAACAACCTACTGAGCAATGATACATCCAGAGTCATTTGTTGAAATGGACTGTTATAGAGATCAATTAAAATTTTGAATAGTAATTGGCGGGTGTTTTTGTGGGCAGAAGAAAATCTTAGCCAAGAAAGTCACCAGTGGCTGCTGTATGGGAGAGCAAGAGGTCTAGTCCAATTTCAGATGCAAAGTAAGGACGCTGCATAATGGCAGCAGAATTTAGGTTGACACAATTTCCTCTTGGAGGAAAGAACAGCTCCACTTCCCTTTTTTGCTCACCACTAACGTGAAAATATTACATCTAAAACATTTTTGCCTGCCACAGATGGAAGCGAGGGGTGCAATATCCTTGTTGTGAACATAGCAGGGCTACATAAATTTGCATAGGTAGTTGTCAACCATCAATAAACTTAACCCTAATCCATGGAGGCGGAAAGAAGCATGACACATCATAAGCAGATATGGTTGATTGACGTACAAAACTCACTGGGGTCAAAAAGGTATAAGAGCCAAAACCTCATTAAAATACCCCATGGGTGAGGTCTAAATCTTTCGGTGATATTTTTCCATCTGTTAGAAGAAAATTCTTGGTCTGTTCTGAACTGGGTCAATGAGTACAGGATGCCTTCTTGAAATAGAGGTAGAATTTATTCCACAGAAATGCAAACGCTAAGCAGTTGAAGGTGGCCACGTTTTGAAAAGGAAGGTTTGGAAATATTGATAGACAAGGTTAGGCTTTGTTAGTACAGCATGCAAATATAATTTGCTTGGATGGAGGGCTGAGCTGAGTCTGGTGGGAAGGAAGTGTAGTTTCATCACCCCTTGGAGTGAGATAATCTTTGTATCTGTTTGTATAAGTTGGCTGTGGGCCCAGATCTGGGGAATCTTTAGTGTTTCTGTAAAGGATTTTGGTATCTTAAGGGGCTTTTGGTTTTTGTCTTGTTGACATAAGCTTATTTCCTTGTGTAAGAGGCTCTTAATAAATTAATATCAATAGGGTCTGAAAAGCTTAAGGATCTTTTTGTCTTACTGTTTAAGTTTAACTGATAGCTACAGGGATTGCTAGGATCAATCTGTGGTCTAGCTAGTAACTGTGTCTTAGACCTAGAGGCTTTCACCTTCTCACACTTCTATTTGCATAATTCAAAGAATTGGACACTTGAACTTATATATATATTT